CCTTCCTTCCTTCCTTCCTTCCTTCCTTCCTTCCTTCCTTCCTTCCTTCCATATTCTGCTATAACATATATTTCCTTATCTATAGTTAACCACAATGTCTATATAAATGGGCATTTTATCTTTTTCTATACATGTATGTCTTTGTTTACATAGGTTTTGCTACGTGGTTTGCTCATTTATTTATAATGGCAGGAGCCAGCCTTTTCCTTTTATAAAGTGGCATTATTACTGCCTATACAACCTTTCATCAATCCTTAATTTAAACTTATTGTAAACATATAAGGAAAATATTCCAGGAGAAGGAGCCTTCCAGGGAAGAAATGTCAAACTGAAGATGGCTTCACAAAAAGTGGAGCTGACAACCACGGCAAAATTAAGATTTTGCCGCACCCAAAAAGGAGAGAACTTGAGATTTCCCACAAGTGCTCCAGACAGTTGCTCCTCATGAGGAGACTGCAAGACAGTGGCCTCCAGTGGGTTTAGAGCTCTGGGAGATGAGGGAATAGCCTTCTTGCTTAAACCACGGTCGGCGCCTTTGAAAGGACACTAAGTTCACATACTTCCTTTCTAATCACTTTCAGAAATTGCTTGTTAATTGATTTTAAGCTATTAGGAACCTTTGGATTGACAAGTTTTACAGCATCAGGTGAGTATCCTTCAATCCTTAGTGAAAGAAGTTTAACTACACGTTTAAGTACTTTACAAAATTTTGGGTGGGGGGAATAAACAGCAAAACGGTGATTAAAACTTTGATTTTAGAAAGTTACAAATGGGCTAAAGGTCCAGATAAATTTGAAGTAAGATTTTGGAATTAATTATAAAAAATCCTTCCTGTGGGAAAATTCTTTTGTTTTGAATTTTAAAAAAAATAATAAGACTTTAAAATTGGACACTAGAGGAAACTAGAAGGAACTAAAGATGGCAGTTAAAGGAGGACACTCAAACTTGACTTACAATTACAGAATGAATCAAAATATTTTAACATTGGACATATTGAAGGATATTTTTGAACAATGGGCCCAGAAGTTAATTTTAAGAGTGTCTGCCTCTATTGATAGACTGTCTAAAAGATGTTATGGAACAGGAACAAGTTCTACCTGACAAGACTGAGACTGATCTGAAAGTGGATTTAAAAGTGACAGGCTACAAGAATGATAAGGAAAAAGTTGCTGCACTGGACATACAAACAAAACTGGCTGATGTCTTAATGATTAAAAAGTTTGGTTCGTTATTTGTAACAAACCAACATTGTGACTAGGATAATTTTTCTATACTGAATTTCCAAAAGAGGCTTGTTAAAGTTTTGAAGAATTTTGTGAGAAAAGACAAAGAAAAAAAAATGAAAAAAGTCAAATTCTAGGACATTATTTGAAGGGACTGAAGTTGAAGATTGTTAGAAGTAAAAGGAAGGAATACAACGTTGGTTTATTCGACCAAGGTTAAAATAGATATGTTGTTATCTCTGGTAACCCTTAATGGACTTTTGCTGACATCAGGACTAAAATGATGAGGTTTTCTGGATTTGTTTATAGATAAGAGATGGGTTATGGGAAAAAGAGTTCATTTGTTGTATTTTAAGAGTAGGTGGTAAGTTTTTTTATACTTGATGTGATGAAGGTGGGAAGTCACTTCTTTATATATTTCTTTTCTTTTTCTTTACTATATTCTTATTTTTTCTTTCTTTTCTATTTCTATTTTTTTCCTTTTTTCCTTTCTTTTCTGCACCTTTTACTTTTTTCTTTTAGTTTTTTTTAGTTTGCATTAGTTTTTATTGTTGTAATTATAATTCTTAATAAAATTACTATATATATAAAAAGGAAAATATTCCAACAGTATCAATGCAGTAATCAGCAATGCAGTAATCAGCAATGTAATCAGCAATCAGAAATTGTCTGCAAAAATATTAAATCCATGGGGCTAAAATAAGGCAAGTACAAGGATTATTTGCTGTGTCCTATGTTGTTTTTCTATTCCGTAAGTGTGGGGGTTCCTAGAATAAGATTTTTGGAGAAAGAAGCTATTTCTGGATGGTTGTCAAGATTTATTAGAACAAGGCTGTCTTCTGGCTATATCTTCATGAAGCAGATGGGGTGTTTTCTGGTTAGAAAAACCCAGAAGTTCTATTCTGAGGTTCTGATTTTGACCGAAAAATCCTCTTATGTGGTTGAATGAAGAAATCTCATATACTCTGTCCTATGACTTAAAATAGAAACAGGATGGGTATTGCTATTTTTAATTTCTTCTTCAACTAGCAGGAACCACATGGGTCATGACAATTAATCAAAAATGATATAAAAGAAAATGGCAGAGCATTTTAAAAGGGCCCATTTAACACTGGTGACAGGAGATTGCTGGGAAAGTTTAATTTCAGCTTTCAAAAACTGTAAACTGATATCACTGATTTATTTTTCAGACTTTTTGATTGGTTTGTGTTGGTATTGCTTTTACTGGGTTTATGTCTCCATTTTTATTATCATTCTTTCTTAGAGGTGATTTTGTCTAGTTTTTTTGTTAATGTTCTTTTTCATTATTGCTTCATTTTGTCTTTTATGTTTAATTTCTCTATATGCTGTCAAGAGAATTTTGTTATCGGATAGCTTAAAATTGAAGCAAATTAATACTTGTCAGCCATGATCACCCAAACAAAACAAAGCAAGTTTTTTTTTCCTAAAAAAGTCTTCCCTGTTTTCTCTTTTTTCTTTTGCTTCACATCCTTTCTTAGGTAGTGCTGGCACTCCAGTGATGTTTAATAAGAATGGTGATGCACCAGGACGTTATGACATCTTTCAATATCAAGCCACAAATACCTCCACTCCAGGCTACCATCTGATTGGCCAGTGGACAGATGACCTACAGCTCAATGTATGTCCATTTTCTTCTTTTCTTTGATGGATGCTACCATAAGAAGTATGCTACTTTTGCCCAATAAATGTTGAATACTTCTCTATTATTTTATATAACATTCTGTTTGATAATGAGAGGAATCTCACTTGTGTGAAAGCCTTGTATATTGTATGTTCCCATTATGTGCTTGGAACTTATGCTGATTCTAAATGTAAAAAGTCTTGTGAAATGTTACCAGCAACTCTTGGTGCCAGGAAGAATCCAAGTTGGTTCCAGCAAGAAGAATTACATAGTATAAGTTTAACAATTGTCTGGATTTTCATTTTTCTGTGGAATTAAATCAGAATGTTCCATTCAGTAAAACTGCAGTATGTACTATACATCCAATCATATAATTTTCCCCTGGAAAGTTTTCCATGACTGGTAACTATGAGTCTGGCTGCCAGTCTAGTGATATGAAAAGATTTACAGCGGGCTTGTGATTTGTCTTCCCAGTGTGTTTGAACCAATATGGTTGATACCTCATCTTGGAAAGCTCATTGATTGCATGGCATGTAAACATGATAGGAAACTGAATCACTTGGACACAGAAATCTCTTGTAATAGAGATAATCCCTGGAGAAAGGATCTAATACTGAAATTTTGTTGCAACTGCATTAGCCAGAGAACATCTGAAATCTTCTGCCTAATGTAGACATCTCAATTGCTATAATTTCCTCAACGTTATGTTATCCTAGAGATAATATGCTAAATGTATTAAAGTATGTTGAGTCAAGTGAAGAAAGAATTGACTTAGTAAATCATTAGTACCTAAGGTCCCACTCATATTTCAAAAATAACCATGGCAAGAGTAGTGTCAGGGAGAAGATTGATGGCTTACGACATCCTGAGATGGTGGTGGGAGTTTGAGTGTATTTAGAGCAAAGCAAAAAATCTATGAAAATTGATGAATGTTTCTGCCCAAGAGCCTTGAAAATAATATATATATATATATATAAAGGATTGTGTGTGGGAGAGAGACTATATGGCCACGTGTTGCAGCTATTCCAAAATATGAGGAAGTGATATTTTAGTAAGCAGAAGCTGCAGAAATTTGAACATAGGCAAACCCTGTGAATGCAGTAAGACATGCTTTGAAAAAAAAAAATCATAGGTACAGGTTGCTCTATAAACCTTTTCATGACTAATTTGGCACTGAAGCCTGAGCTCCCCTGGATTTACATTTGATTAAATGAAAATTGTGGCTGTATTCTCTGAATATCATAAATGAACAGATGCCTGATTTGAAATATATTGGCTGCTATTCAGTTTACAATATGTTGGGATTAAATATTATTCCTTTAGAAAGATGTGGAGAAAACTGTCCTTCTTTTTTTCACGATCTGCTGAAAGAACACGTGCCTGCTTTTGAATTTATGATGATCATTTAACAGCCTTGCCTAATATCCCATTTATCAGGGTAAGAATATTTTGTCTTACTCTCTCCCTTCCTAATACTAGATTTCAATGCCTAAAACCTGTCCAGCTGCTCATGCATTTGCAGACCATGTCATGATTCACATAAATGCCAAATTATCTAAAATGCATTAATTTAAAGGGAAAGCTTTTCAAACCAGTGATATTATTGCCCAGAATCACTGAGATGATTCTGAGAAAGCATTTGGATGATTCAGGGGGAAAAAATGATGGTGAAATGTAAAAGAAAAGGTCTGCCTTCTCTATTAATTTCTTTGTCCGTATGACTGTGAATGCAGTAAAATGTTATATTAGAAAAAATAGGCAGAGCTCTGCAGAATTATTCTGCCCAATATGTTGCTTTAGATATCAGATTGAAATGCAGAGCAGAACATTGTGTTGAGGCCTCATGCTTCTTGATATCAAAATGCACAGATTGAGGTCCCCTCCCTCCGCTTTTTCTGAGATATTTGCTATCCCAGCAAGAATTGGGATAAGGCGAGGATGCAAGGCAGGTAGATGGGTTGGGTGAGAGTGTCATGAATCTGTAAAGAAATGGAAAACTGACAGCATTCCCAATATTCCTGAATTGATAATCTTCGTAAGGCAATCCTTTCTATTGAAACAGCACAGCTGAAATGTTAAGGCAGTAGTCTACTTGTTATTAAACTGCATCATCATCATCATCATCATCATCAATATTATTTAATAATTTATTAAACTTGAGTGCCTCCTGACTCTCAACAACTCTGGGTGGCTCACAACAAAGAAATTACAATAAAATCAATACAAAATAAAGACAAAAGATGGCAAATATGGTGAAGTGAGGGGTCTCAGTCTTCCTTGTCAAAGATGTGGGTGAAGAGCCAGGTCGTCATGGCTCTTCTAAACAACAGCAGAGAGGGGACCATCCAGATCTCAGGGGGAACCTCATTCCAGAGGGCAGGCGCTGCTACAGATAAGGGGCACTTCCGGGGTCCTGAGAGATGACATTGTTTAATTGAAAGAATCAGGAATGTGCCAACCCTGCAGGATCAAATTGGCCAAGCAGATGTCAGTCCCTCAAGTAACGAGGCCCTATGCCAACCAGGGCTTTATAGGTAACAGTCAGCACCTGGAATCGCACCTGGAAGCAAACATAAAAATTGGTGGAGAATCTCTATGTATAGAAGAGTCTTCCCAAGACAGACAGTTTAGTGATGGATAGGAACAAATCTGGCCGGTTTCATATGATTCTTCCCCAATGTGTATAGAAGATACCTGTTTTAAGAATATCTGATTTCTTCATTTTTATTTAATCTTCTAACTTTAAAATCCTATCTGTGCATAGTTACTCACATTCCAACTCTTGGTTATGACATATGCCTCTCATATCTTATATTAAAGATTTTGGTTTAACATTTTGTTCGGCATTTATTGAACCATAACACATGGACTGGTAGAAAAGATGTAGAAAACGAGATCTGTTCCATGGGCTTTGGAGGATGGGCAAAGGGAGGCAGATGCCAATACTTGTCATGTTATCATTGATTGCAGCTTTTGTTCATCAGACCCAAGTATGTAACGGTGGCATTTGCATGATGATGTCCAAGAATGGACAAGTGATGAAGCAACTCCATGTTTTAAAGGTTCTGCTGTATTTCCTAAAATATACTAATATTCCCAGTGTGGTCTATCTTAAGCTTCATAAAGTTTTTTTTTAATTAATATTTTTAAGAATTTATGACCACTTAATTTTTTCTCCCTGTTAGAATATATTTTCCTGATTTTATCTCATACAGAGAGAATTTAAGATTTGGAAGTTCTTCAGAATACATTGTGACAATCAGCGCTGGCAGACTAAAAAAGAAGTCCACTTTCCACATTAAAAGCTGACATGGTGTTTTATCGATTGCCATAAAGAATCTATTAATAAGGGACAGGATAATGAAAATATATTTCATTGAATACATTATTAAGATAATTCTAATAGGTCACAATACATAAAACACTCTTAGCAATTATTGCTCCTTTAAAACAAACAAAACAAAACTTTATGGCATTTTTTCTGACAACACCTAACTCATAAATGTCAATGCCAACCTTGATCCTTGTCTCACTTCCCCCC